AAGGGAAAGAGGAACAGGACAACTATTAATGAACATACTTTCTGTCAGCTGAGAGTAAAATTGATAGATAAATAACCATTCATAAGCGAACAGAGATAAATACTAAAATGTCAAAGCGATCAGCTGTAATAGATTCGTTCGTGATTTTTACATCTTGCATTGAATATGTAACTTTCAGTCTGCGAGTAGTGATTTCACATGTCTACATTAAAATAATGTTCGGATAAAGTATTCGTCGAACTTCGCACCTATTTCGCTCGGATCCATCTCATTCGTTTCACTAATCCAGTGGATTGTATCATTTATTGCTATCTGGACTGTTAGTTCATTGTTCACTAAACTCATTTTTTCCAATAAATTGCATACTTGAATACTATCACAAAACAGTTCGATGATGATCTTCGCTCTATGTATACTTGTAAAATATGACATTAATTTAACAACAGCATGGAGTATATGAGTGGATAAGCGTTCAACACATGTGTTAGGGCATTGAATATCCTCTAATTTGGAGCAAATGAATTTGTGCAATTCTTCACGACCGTTCATAACAATATCACGTTACCAGCAAAATAGAAACCTAATGAATCTCAGTAAATCAGTATTTGACAAATAAAACAACTATTTATATTAGTAACTTATCTCTTCGTATATCTTTTCTTTTTTGATGTTCAAACTACTCATCTTTATATGCCATTGTCATGTTCAATACTCTCTTCTTCTGTATAACGCTATACAGGTGAATCTTCTGTTTCCTTTGTTACTATCATGTTGCGCTAAGAAAATGAATTTCAATCCAAACCAGATGTGAGAAAAACCCTGTTGCTCAAAAGATATTTGCATATATGAGAAATAGAACCGTAGTTGAAGGAAAACTACATTTTCTCGTTTCTTGGTGACAAAAAGACTTCACAGGTACGAGAAAAATGAAACTGTCAGGAGAAAAGACTTCCCCCCTGGCAATAGCGCATCAGTATACATATACTAATACTCATGCTCAATCACTAAAGCTAACAGAAAGAATAAAACTCTGACAACAACTTTTATAATACCGGTGTAGAATACCTTCGAACGCATTCCTGGTAAAAACGAACGTGGGTTCCTTCTCTAGTTATCTCTAAATTCAGACGTAAGGCATAGAACAGGTCATATTATATTCGAAGATAGCGAAATACCATGCAAGAAACAAAGGACTATAGCGATACCGTAATTTTTATTCTTTTCTTTCCTTTCACTATCTATCAATCAATACTCATGTTTAACGAGTATACGATGGCCCATCACTAGTTCTCCAAGAGCGTGTCCGGATGCATTCAATAAGAACGCGTTGTTGAGAGGATCGCGTTCTCAGAAAAGAAGAACGCGTTTTTAGTTGTTTTAAGTCAAAAGAACATCACGTGGTTGATTAGAACTCAAGTAAGCACACGCACGTCGTGGTTGATATGCGAAATTTCGTCACCTGAATTTCGGCAGTTGTCGAGATTTTTTCGGAATTTCGACAATATTATCAAGGTTGCCCTAGACTTTCGGCAATTGTCCAAATTCAGAAAGAGTTTCAACAATAATAATTATTACTCTATTAGGAATTCTACAGTAGTAATGTTAGAGTACACATAAAAACACAATCATCGGGGTTATATAACTTTTATTGTCTAAATTCCCCTAGAATTTCAGCAATTGTCAAAGCTATTTCGAATTATCACGTCTTTCAGATATCTTTTGCGACAAATTACAGTTATAGTTATAAGTTTACCATAAAATACTAACTCTGTTATTTTAAAATTGATGTCACATCAACGTGTTAGCTGTTTTCTCCATTATGATTGATTGAATCCGCTCCCATTTTGCATGACATCTCATATCTCACTCTTTCAGTTTATATTCGTGTTATCAACATTTTCTGAAGTCTACTGCATAAAATCTAATTCAGTAGTTACAATACTAACTTTGCTCCTACGCGTTATAACATAGTGCTAAAAGCTGATAATATTATGATAATAATGTAGAAAAAAACGTCTTGCTGAGTCGTGAAATTACTTTTACATTCGACTACATCATGCACTTCCACTAACACAACCAAGCGTTCGATATGACGTTTAGCGAGAGAAAAGGATTCTTTTTTTTTGTTCAGTTATTGACTGAATCTTTGCTATCTATGCCTCAAACCGATAAGCCGAAAAGGGATCTATTGAATATGAGCCGTTTACAGTATCGCAACAATGATTGAAAATTTTCTCAAGAGTCAAGAATGGAACCAGCACAGAAAACCAATTCTTTTACTGAAATTAAAGCAGAAGAGCCTTTAATAGAGCGTGAATAAAATACGAACTGCATTTAACTAACACATTTAACACTGTTCAAAATGTGCGTGTCGTTATCAATGCTACTATGCACAGCATCCACCAGACAATTTTTGGTTGCAAAAATCCTTCGCTATAATACATGTCATTCAGAAAGCTAATCCAGAGTTACGTATACACATAAACAATACATATTAGCACGGTTTGTATCAGCATATGGGAAAAACTGCGAATGAGATTAAACGGCAGGTGTAAGATATTCTTTCTTTTTAATGATGGTATGATTAACTCGCACTAAAGGAAAATACCTCGCAAAAGAATGTTTTGTACTGTGTTCTATTTTTGCTAATGGGGAAATAAATTACAGAAGGTAACAAGGCAGTAAAGAAAGAACAAAATATATCTCTAGAAGATAATTTAAGAAACAGAACAGAAAGAAAACGACAGCCACCCATTTTCAACTTCATAAAAGTGAGAAGCTGAAGCTCATTTTCTCTACAGTGGACAACTATACTGTGGAACGAAAAGGAGAGAAACACCATGCAAGTCAGGCCATTAGTTTCTAAAGAAAAGTAGTTTGGTACAGTCCATTATGTAGTACGTTGAAAAAATTATTTTTTTTATTATTCGTTTGCAAACATAAAAGTTGGCAGAAAGCTAATCAGGAAAGGGTACAACACACAAAAACATAATAGAAAATGACATGTGTAATTAGATAGAGATGGCCGATTTTTTTTTAAACATTGATGAATATTATAACTAACAGATACAACGATTTGCTATGGTATGCATCGAGTGCTTTTTTTCAACAGAATTAAACTAAAGTATGGAGTGTTTACTTTGTTCTATAGTAGTTAAAATTCTTGCCGCGTATAGGTGTATTACAGAAAATTACCGTCGAAATGATCGATAGAGGAAGAACAATAATTTGATGAAAGAACGTTTTCAATAGCGTCAAAAAAGAAGTGAAGCACATGAATGTATCGCTGCGAGTATTTGCGATGTTAGGTTGCTTTTTGCTCACGCCGGCTCATGTAAGCGACTGTATTCTGGTCGACGTATCCGATATCATAAGCCATATTTCGAAAGATTCTCTAATGCTCTCCGTATCAATGGACTCATGACAGTACGAAGAAAACTTTTTCTAATACAAAAATAATCGAAACAAGAGAGAAATGATGAAATAAAGATAAATCCGGGCAAAAAAAAACTGTGCATCGAAGTTCCGTTTCTGTTTCGCTGCGATATCAAAATAAGGAGCCCGGAATACTCATACGTTTACCTATTGATTTACAAAGTAAGTTTGATTTAAACCAATTTTATTTAAAAGTATAGCAAATGGCAAAGAGTACAAAGAGTACGATGTACTCACTTCAGTACTGTTACAGTATCAATTAAGTAGATAATATAAGTATGCTACGTGGAAAAAGAGAAGGAAGTGACAATAAGAAAATCAAAGAAAGGCAAACAACAACTGATAATCTAAGAGAGAAAGTATAAAAATAAAAATAAGATAAAGAAGTGATGAAGAACCGTAACGGACAAGTCAAAAACAGAAGAAAAAGCTGCTGAGGTGTGGGTAATTAAATAAGAAGAAAATTTCAATATAGATAATAAGAGACACACAACCTTTTTCATCATGAAAATCGACTATTTTCTGTTTGAGACGTTTCGTCTTTATTCAAAAGACATCCTCAGTGTCTTTTGAATAAAGACGAAACGTCTCAAACAGAAAATAGTCGATTTTCATGATGAAAAAGGTTGTGTATCTCTTATTATCTATATTGAAATTCTTCACCTTACAAAATGACTCAAGAAGAAAATTGTAAGGCATGTTTCATAAAGCGTTCAGTATTCATAATATAGGTTATCATCAATTTGTATATTTCTACTAAATCAACCTGTTGAATAGCATTATCTTGAGTAGTAGTAAGGGAAGAGTAACAGTCTTATTTGGGAAAAAAATGGCTATTTGACTAAATAAAATATTCCGCTCATTTTGATAAGATGGGAATGCAGTATGTAGTGTTCAATGGTCTCAATCTCTCCACGCTCACAAAAGGGATCATCTGTTAGGCTTCGTTTGAGCAAATCATATTTTAATTGTGTAAGACCTATGCGACAACGACAGTAATTGATTTCACTCTTCTGAAACGGGAAACTTTCGTTTGTGTGCTGTAATAATTTTCCTTTTAAATGATTTTATGTTTAAGGTTAACAAGATTTCTAGTGGTAATTCAGAGCGTTCCTGAAATGTTCGGTAGAAAAGAGAATCATCGACCGCTTCCAAACGTCTCTTAGAGAATCTTCTTCTATTTGAGTATTGACTACGAAGAGTATATTTTGTTTGTGGCCTTACTGGGTTAGGAATTAGCTCAAAAAGATATGATGGTGACTGTTTAACTAAAATAGTTTGAAACTTTGTTAGTCTATCTATTCTGAACCAATTCTCAATTGATTCCCAACCGATATCTGCTGAAACGTTCTTCATATTACTTCCACGAATAACGCCAGTTACTGCAAGTGCAGCGTGGTGCTGAGCGCTTTGAAGTCTCTTAAAATTTATGTCTGATGTGTTTCCGTAGATGATGTCAGCATAAGCGAAACAGGGCATTATGAATGAATTATAAATTATATTTAATGCTTGCTTAGTTAAAATTCTACTAAATAGTTTTAGTAGACCAATAAGTTTGTTTATTTTTAACAATATATAGTTAATATGTGTAAACTTTTTAAAGAGAAACACATAGCTACACATTTATTAGCATTTAATGAAAGCGTCCAGTCTTTCGCCCACTGATTAATAATGACAAGATCATTATTAATCGTTGTTGCTGCTCGTAATATATCAATACCTGGAGTATAGAGTGAAACATCATCTGCAAATAGTTTAATAGTACTCATAATACCGTTGCACAAATCATCAATGTACACTAAAAACAACAACGGCCCAAGAACAGACCCTTGAGGAACACCACGATTTATTACACGTTTAGATGAATATCTACCCTCAACCATTGTAATAATCTCTCTGTTGGACAAATAACTCCTAAACCATTCTAATAATGAACTTGGAATACCCTTAGCTTCAAGTTTAGAAAGAAGACCTCTGTGCTAGACACAGTCAAAAGCTTTGGAGAAATTTAGAAAAACAGCTAAGCAGCATTCTTTTCTATCGAATGCAGAGTAAATATTATGAATAACAGAAAAAAGTTGACTTACACAAGAATCTTTATGTTTAAAACCGGATTGATTTTCGTTTATTAGCTTATTATCAACCAAATACGCATATAAGCTTTTATAAATTAATCTTTCCAAAATTTTGGATAAAATCGGAAGTAGAGTGATTGGTCGATAATTAGTCAGAGCATTATGATCACCTGATTTAAACAAAGGAGTCAAATATCCAGTTTTCCATGATGACGGAAACTGTCCTGCGGCGAGTGATTTGTTAAAAACATACGATAAAATACTTGAGATCGACCAAGACGCTTCTTTCAACATTCGTGGAGATACACCTGGTGATGAAGCTTTGAGACAGTCTAATTTATTCAATAGATCAATTACTTCTGGCTCAGAGATTAAAAAAGCTGACATTTTCATTTTATTCTGTTTAATTTGCTTAGGTATTTCATTGGCGTCTTGAGACGCCATCGTACATATAGATGCAAAATAATCATTAAGAATGTTAACCTTATCTTTAGAATCCGTCATGAGTTCACCGTTACTAGCTTTTATTGGAGGGACAGAAGATAAGGCATTGGCACCTAAAGTATGTTTAACCATTGACCACCACCGTTTTGATTTTGTATTCAAGTCCGTCGACAATTTGCTGTAGAATGAACTTTTTGCTTTCATACATTCAGCTTCAAACTCCTTAGCGATTGTTTTAAAAGACAACCAGTCACGCTCATTTTTTGTGGTTTGATAGCGTTTATAAGCCTTATTTTTCACTCTTGCAAGAGAACGTAGATTTTCGGTAAACCAAGGTTTATCCCTTGATGATAGCGTGATTAATTTGTTCGGTATGAACAAATTCGCAACTTCAATAATTCTATTTTGAATAAGGTCAGCAGCTTCATCAAGAGAGCATCCATGAATTAACTGATGCCAGTTAGTTTCCGAGAGCTCACGACGATATCCATCGCAATCAGCCGCTCTATAATCATATATTACTTGTTTAATTTGCTTAACGGGTATAGAATTACTAATTTAACATTAATGATCATATGATCACAATTTGTACACAGTTCTGGTAGAATAGCGCCAGACTATACACATGCAAGGTTACAGATAAAAACAAGATCTAGACAAGTGTCAGATTTTCTTCGTGTAGCTTTGTCAACTAATTGAAAAAGTGAACATGCATTAGAAAAATTATATAAACTAAGACCTGCACGAGTAGAAGGCTTTGATGAATTCGCGTACCAGTGCTTACAGTGACCGTTAAAATCACCCATCAGTAATAAATCATTGTGTTTGTATAAGCTGTTGGTGCGCGCTTGTACTACTACATCCTGTAGATACTCAGCGAAGGAATGAACGTTCACCAATTGCGGTCTATAACATGCACCTACAAAAATTACCTTGGTTTTTGAGAGTCTAATTCGAAAAAACATCGTTTCATAGTCAATATTTTCCAACGCAAGGAATCTTTCTGCTACAGAATCATTTCTTATATAAACTAGTATTCCGCCATAACCGGGAGTTCGCATCTGTCGGTCTTTTCTAAATGGTATTTGGTAACTAGGAATTAGGAGATCATCTGTCTAGGTAGAGCCGTTTAACCACGTTTCAACGCTGATCACAACTACGGGTTTTCGCTTAGCTACCAAAAGACAAAGAAGGTCAAATTCAGTTATATTTTGTTTTGACGGAATTTTTCTCTCGCCTACTACATCAGCCATAATGCTATTTGCGTTCAATAGAAGACAATTAGTACTGAAACAGTCTGAATCATTTTTATCAGGATGCATCATAATAGAAGTTAAAAAGCCAGATAATCACACACACCAAGCAGAATTGAAAGATCAATGTCATGTTACGTTGTAAAAAAGACAAAATACAGAAGGAAGAAAAAAAATGTTTGGCATCATCCGGAAATCGCCGTCGCCGCGGATTCTTATATGTTAAAGTGTTAAAGTGTAAAAGGAAGGATAAACGTGCATAACTGAGGGTGAAGTAGTGAGGATGAGGGTGGAGCACTTCTTCACCCACTTCACTCTCACCTCTCCACCCTCGCCCTCACTCGCCGCGAGTTCGTATATGTTAAAGTGTTAACGCAAAAGTGTTAACACTTTAACACTGAATCCGCGGCGACGGCGATTTCCGGATGTTATGAAATGTTTAGCATAAATGGGGGTAAAATAGTCATTTTGAAGACTAATAAAAAGAAGCAGACACACATGTCTCATGCCTCCAAAGAAAAAGGGATCTATTGTTCCAAGATGTAACAACCTCTATAGAGCTCTAGAGCTATACCAAACTTGCTACTAGTCAGATATTAACGTTAAATTAGTATCACCTTGACGAACATAGACTCGACCATTTCTTGTTAATACTTTTTTCTTTTCATTACCCTCAAACTTGGCACGTTCGCGATAATAAATTTTCAATGAATTTTTTGTTAAATCCTCAACGACTGTAACACCCAAATTTTACCTTTCAATTTGACTAATGATGCTAACACCGATTGTCGAACAGATCTTGAATAAAATCGAACGATTACTGCATGACATTTATCATCATTATTTTGTTGACTTGTAGGTTTATTATTTTCATGACGAATACGATGACTATTTTCAATTTCGTCCATGGATAATTTTAGTTGCAATTCTGTATTAATAAACTGGATTACTTTAGCTGTTGTATTCTCACGTTGACTTTCTTTAAGACCATAAAAACGCAGGCACCATGTACGATTATATCGTTCTAAATCTTCTGTTTTCTTTTCTAATGCAACGGTTTGTTTTTCTAATGCACCCAAACGTTGACCAAGTTCTTTTAAGACTCCTTGATACATAACATCAATAATATCTTTGGCTGAGCTTGATACATCACTATTATTAGAACTGACTATGGCAGGCACTTGTGTTTGTAATTGTTGATCATTTTTTAACATTTCAACGAGAACGTCTTTTAGACCACTAAATGTTCGTGGATGAACCACTGTACGTTGAGATTTTGACTGAATTTCGTGTGGCATTATAAAAATAAATTTAACCCAAAGAAAAAAAAATACATATATAGTCAAGAAATTATCAAATAAATACGTTAGTTCATATAAAGTGACACAACAAATAGATATAGCTACAGAATGTTATTACACGGGGTTAGGTCATAACATGACACGTCCGCTCAGAATGAAGAAAAGATATCTATGAAAGTAAGTTTAAAAGCAGGCCCCAAGCAAACTTGATGTTATGTCTTATCCGAGATAGTGGAATGGCGTATCAAAAATAAGCAATTGATTATTCTAACGAATTTGGGCATGATAGGGGATTGGGATCGTTTTGTTCGTGAACCATACAGCCACGGTTTTTTCCATGTTGAAAATTAGTAAGAATGTATCTATAGGTATAAACATGTATTCTCTCTCTTGTGGTGTTGCTATTCCAGGTGGCAGTGTGTATAAGTATTTTTTACTTTTTCTACTTTCCTACAGCAGCTCTTTTTCGTAAAGTCAGCTTTGTTTGTAAAATAAAATCAAGTTCAAGTTCAAAGTTCAAGTAACCATTTTTTGCAGTAATCTCGTAATAGATTTAAACGTACATTAGTCTTTTTCACTTAGAAATCTATGGCTTCTTGAAAGCGAAATTCAGTTTTGGTTATATCAGAATGATAATCGCATTAAAATAATTTATTTTATTTTTATTTTATTTTTCCATCGAAATAATAAAAATTAACAGGTTAACAAAGAAGAAAAGAAGAATTAAAAAAGATTGAAAGATGGCAAGATGGCTGGGTTATTCTCTGTACAAAAACGTTTTCAATGGTCCATCAGTTGGACAGAGGAAGAAAATGAGAGGGAATACGATTCACATCGGTTAATAAAGTGAATAGATAAGAGAAGAATGCTCTATAAAGGTGCATAACTGTTTGTACATGCAGTATATGAGTGGTAAGAAAAAGAATATGAAATACTTGATGATTCGATAGTGGAATTCGAGCAACAGAAAGAAATGAAACTGTCATAGGATGGCAAAGAAAGAGAGAAATGAATCGTCTCTCAGATATATATGTTTATCACTTGTACGAGAGTGACTCGGAAGGGTGGTTTCATGCAGAGAGTATTTTTTATCGCGGTTGGAGAGTAAGACAAAGTGGAAAAAAACCTGAGCTAAAGTTCTATAAAAAACAGAGGTAATCGTCTCCTTAGTCTATACCATGTTGAAAATTAGTAACCGTTTTTGCAGTAATCTCGTAATAGATTTAAACATACATTAGTCTTTTTCACTTAGATTTCTATGGCTTCTTGACGACAAAACTTAAAAGCGGCTCTGAATAAAATCGCAATATCGTCAGCGAAACAGTGACTATCAGTGCCAGAAAAAACATCGTTTATATCAAAAATATATAAAAGAAACAAAATCGGAGACAGACAGCTACCTTGTGGGGTGCCCCATTTTAACGCAAAATCATTGCATGTCTGCCCTGTCCAAGTAACAACACCCCTAGATCTCAGCTAGCTCTCTATAAACATGAAGAGATGTTCTGGGATGCAACAAGGGCGAAGTTTGCAAAGTAATCCGTCGTGCGATCCCAGGTTATCTATTTTTACAGAAAATCGTCGGTTAACCGTGGTTCGTCGAACAACCGCCAATTGACCGCAGTTTGCTTTAAACCGTCAATTAAGCGCAGTTAACCGTCGGTTTTTTTTTGATACCGCGATTTGGAAAATTAACAAATTGAGCGCGTTATTTCGAAGAACCGACGGTTAACCGTTTCTTTTTCAGTCAGTGTTTTGTTTTATGGTCACTATATGTATATAAGGACAACATGCTTTATGGAAAAACTTCAGAAAGATATATGACACAGCCTTACGAAGTTGTGTTGGGGTAAGGCCAAGATTCGAAATACTCAGTAGCATATGAGCAAACTGGTGTGTCAAGGTCATTTATGTCAAAAAGCTGCGTTATTCGGTCGTTAACCAGTCTACTTCATATACGATTCGATAGAGAATGTCACGGGCTACAAAATGATATATGACACAGCCTTAAGAAGTTGTGTCGGGGTAAGGCCAAGATTCGAAATACTCGGTAGCATAGCAGCAAACTGACGTGTTAAGTTCATTTATGTCAAAAAAGCTCTTTATTCGGTCGTTAACCAGTCCACGTCGCATGCTTCTACGTTGTTCATTTCATGTGCTAGAAAATGATAGATGATATTATCTGAAAGAAATGTAACTGCGTAGTCTGGAAATAGAAATGCGTTTTCACTGGCATTGTGTTGATGTGAGATATTTCGTGAATATTGAACAGAGAGATACTGTCTTCTCTGTTGTGCTCGTATATATATATTGATGTTTTTGCGGTGTTTTTGGTTGTTGGAGTGATTTGAGAAAACGTAGTTATTTATAGTAGAGAGAGATTCGCACAATTTACTTTCATAATGGGTCGTTATTGTCCTTGCGGAGCTGTTTTGTTGAGGGCATCTAGTGTTCGACGATTAGGATCACCTTTATTTCGTATGTTTATGTCCATACGTGTTTTGGATGCGCTTCCTGCGAAGACAAAAGTTTGTAATAAATGTAGACAGTCATATGCATACTGGAAAAGATGCAATCTGGAATTTGAGAGTGTTTTTGATCGGATTGAGAAAGATTTTGCAGGTGATGCAGGAGATGATCAGGTAAGTGGAACTTTAATGAGTATTTCTTTAGCTTGTTGCATAGTGTCCAGTTTTTATTCTATACAGGTTGAAGATATTGATATCAGCTTTGATTCTCTTCCAACAAATAAATCTGACAAAGGGTCTCAAACTGTGGCACAGATATTTGAACCACCGTGTATTACATTACCAATGAATTGCACGATATCATCTCGTACGTAAGTGATGCTCAGGATCGATTAGTTGTATAGTATAATTACGTTCAAAGGTATATGGTTCTATGGCTGTTTAGAATTTGCTATGTTTGTCGATCTCATATTGATGGCTCATCAATGACTATAGCGGCTGAAGATCGAGATATGATATTTTTAACGAAAAATGTAATGATACGTGAAGGTTCAAGATGTTGTCGTAAACACTTAGAAGATCATCGTTTAACGCCCGCTTCAATAAACATAATTAAGCCATACAAGATAGAAATTATCTTACTTAAAGCTGGTGATGTTCAGATGTTAATAAGTAAGTCTCAGATACTTTACAATCAGAAAAAATGTCTAGATTTTGATGATTGTAATGCGATTTCCGACGACGAGTATTATAACTTAACAAGTTTGAGCAAAGGACAATTCGATAGTTTAATAAAAGAGATAGCGGCTTTTTCAATTCGAAATACAGCAGTTAGGTCGATTCGTACTGCGGTTGCGTGTTTATTATGTAAATTACGCTTGGGTTTGTCTAACATAATTCTGGCTTTGCCATTCGAGTTACCTGATAAACGCGCTGTGTCGCGCGCTATTGGAACTGCTCGTAAAGCAATAATGAAAGATTTCGTTCCGTACCACCTGGGAATTTCGCATATTACTCGTCGTCAGATAATAGATAATCATACAACA